ACAAACCCTTTCATGTTAGTGGATCCTATGTTATCCTCCAGGAAATCTGCCTGTATCGACAAAAGTGACAATAGCCACAGGTGGGTCAAATAATGTGTGTGTAAACAGTACATACATGTGTGTGGGTGTGATGGTACCTGTCTAACAAAGGACTTTTTCAGGCCTTCATGGGGATCAGCCCAGATCTTGGCATAGCGGCGGATGGTAAAGACCTCATCTTGGACAGGTGACAGGGCCTGGCCAACCACCTCAGTGAGTTTGTCATGAGGCAGACTCTCATAGGCTCCACTCACATCCACCTTAACCACAGTGAAAAGACAGAATGAATAACTAAAAGTGGAAATGATTAAATTTTTTGTGTGCTAAAATTACAAGTCAGAGAATTATTCTAAGTGTAATAAAAAGAAAACAACCTTAACAAAGTAGAGGGGTTGTGGTTTGTCCTTCTGGGCTGGAGCCAGAGACTGCAGCCCCTTGTGGATATCGGTCATCCCCCACACTGTGGAGCCCAGGAGAGATGGAGTGGAGCGCACACAGGCCTGCAGCATATCCAGCAAGTCCCGGACACGCCCTCGGTAGAGCTGCAGGGAAGAAAAGAAAGCGTTTTAAAAACCCTGCATACGCTTACAACACGTAATAACACAAAACTGACTTTAACGTCATTGTAAAAATGTACCCTCATTTTGGCATCTGCTCCTATGACTCGTGTGATAGGCCTCATGCCATCAGTCTTGGGAATGAAGCGAAGGCGTGAGATGACGGTGGTTTTGGGGAGGGATGTCACCTGTGCTGGAGTCAACTCCTCCATTTGTCCCTTGGAAAGATGACCTCTACATCACAAAAATGGTTTGTGAGCTTGTGATTGTATAAATAGGAACCTTTGCAGATGTGTGTACGTGTATGTACCTGAAGGCCAGATCCTGTAGTTGGGCCCAGACTTCCTGTCTGTAGAACCTGAGGGCATTCTTCTGGCCCATGCTCTCAGTGACATAAAAGCAGGCTCGGACGAGGCTTACAACATAGCCATCCAGAAGCCAAGCCAGGAACTGACCTAGGATCTGTGTCCGGTATGAGAGCTCACTGGGCGGGACCCTGCCTACAGATGAGAGTGATTATGTCAGACAAAAATACATATGTCAGCAGAATAAAAATACTACTTAACCACCAACGATAATCTTACCTGTCTTACTGATCTTCAACCAATCACAGTCATTCACCTTCATCTTCCACAGCAATTCAGCCAATGAAAGCCTCTCAAACTTGCCACTGCACAGGAAACCCCTGACCCTGACAAAGAAATTAAGTCGGTTGTGATCAGAGCCCCACAGCTCATGTGGGACCACAGCAGAAAGGCATTCCCTGACAAACAGGTAGACCCGGTGAGGTGCACAGTGTTGAGGCAAGAGGGAGCTCAGTTCTTCCTGTCCTCCATCTCTCTCTTTCACCAGTGGACACATTCTCTGCAGTATTCTGCTGTACGAACACCTCTTGTGTTGACGCAGCATCTGACCGAACAGGGGGACCATGTTAAAAAAGCGTTGGGGGAGTTTCTTTAGCTTCTTGTCTAGTCTGTTTAGATAAGCCAGTCCCTCAAAGAAGACTATTCTTACTAAATCTCGCCCTTGTAGCCTTCTGGATCCAACAGAGCTCTTCTTTTTCCTGTTGAGAAGGAAGCCACGCATTCCCCTTCCCCCATACAGGAATCCCAGCGTACGGATAAAACATTGTGATGGAGGAAAAGGAGGGAAAACCCCCGATCTCCAACTGGGTCCTCCTTCCAAGGGAAGAATGTTTGTTTGCATTTCAACAGGCTGTTTAGAACCAGTACAACCATTTTCCGAAGGCTTCATAGATAGTGTTTGTTCCACAGACATGCGCTGCTCTTCCTCCACTGTTTCAGAGCAAACCTGCTGGTTGTTCTGTGTGGGTTCTAGCTGTCTCTTTCGTCTCCTCTTTCCTGAACAAGTCATAACCTCCTCATCATCCTTGTGATCAGTGTCTCTCTTTCTTTTCCTCCTCTTCACACTTACATCCATTCTGTTCCTCCTCTTGCTGACTGCGGGATTTTCGACTCTATGTCTTCTTTTCAAGGTCAGTGAGCCTTGATATCTTCTAAACCGAGTATTGTTATGTGCCCTGGAGTGAGGCTGGAGATAGAACCCAGTGGAAGCAGACGCCATGGAAACCCTGTCATATACCGGAACGCCGCTAACCTGGAAAACACATGAGGGAGGGACTGCCATGAACACAGAGCAGCTCTCCAACAGGTACCGTGTGATGTCTGTGCCAAGACGTATTGTGACTTTTCTCCACAAGTCGCTGCCATGGATATAAGCAGCACTTTGGGTTACATCTCCTTGGAATTTGAAGTGGTCTGCATCCCGCTCCTCGTGAGCCAAGGAGAGATAATTGTAGCCATGTGCCAAGACGTTTCTTTTTCTTTTTCTTTTCATGCTGTTAAGAACAAAGGCCAGCAATTCAGGCAGTGTGCATATCTGTGGAGAAAAAAAAACAACATAACATACATCACATCAACGCAAGAATCAAGAAAACTTAAAATTCAATATCATATAACCCAAAAAGCTTAATGGTTTGTGCAACCGTTATATATCACAATTCAAGACTAATTATCAGCTAAAGCTGATCATTTCTTTTATTTTACAATAAAACTGTGTCATTTACAGTTTGCCACATTTGATGCCGGATTATTGTTGAACTGAAATTAAATTATTCTGCCTCGGCACATAATTTCTGTCCCATCTCTTTTATAACACTGCTGAACACTGCTTCCATGAGATATGACCTTGCTGCCTTGGCAGCCGTTAGCTAAATAGTTAGCAGCTAGTTTTAGAAATACTGCCCCATGGTTGTTCAGAGGTTCGAGTAAACTCCACGAGACTGACATGCCGGATAGGTAAAACTTACCTGGTTGCAGCTTGGTATCTGCTGTAGCTCCTTATCAAAGCAGACAAAAACAGCCTGTACGAATGATTTGAAGCGGTTTGTGTCTGACTGTTGTACCAGCACAGCCCTCTGTCCCTCTCTGAACACGATGCTGTCTGCAAACTCCTCCAGTGTCTGTATGTGCCGATAAAGAGACCTGAGGATGCCAAGCACACCGGACATATCAGACGCCGTCATACTGACCGAATGAGCCCGCTGTGTTATCACTCAGGACATGTCATAACGCGTGCTTAAGACGTAATGCGCAAGCACAAGGTGAGCCTTATTTTGTCGTTTCAAGGGCCCGCGTCATCCTCAGCCAATGAGAGAGCAGTTAACAGGAGGTGTCCAATAAGATAGCTTCATACTAAAGCGGTGAAATCACAGTCGACCAGTGGCGAACAAAAAAAAGCATGTTGTCCCTTTTTCCTGACAAGATATTGACAGTTCCACCTGTAAATGTAGCAGTACATACGAGTGTGGTCATGCATATTAAAAAGTTATGCGATTTGTACCGAGAAATACAATTAAACTGTCCCCGGTTAGACTTCTTCCTCAAAAAAGATAGGAATACATCAGATTTTAAAGTCATTATAGGCACCATAGGGGCCCTTTTCGAGGGTATGTTATTCATAATAACCACTGCTTTCACAGTGAGGATAACATGCTCGTCGAATATGACCAATAAGACAGTAGTGTCCTCACTTTTTTCACAACCTTATTTAACAGTCATCATACAAATAACAAACAGAGCCAGGGGTAAACAAGATTAAAGACACGTGTATATAATAGATACACCAATAAGTAAGGAAATATTTTATGAGAAATATAAGTATATCGTTTTAGTTGCCGTTGAAATGGATGAGATCACAAGCGAATCCGTAGAGTGTCAGATCATTTTAAATTTAAATAAACGATGGCTTTGTTTTTGTAAATGTGCTCTAATGAGTGTGACATGTGGCAAAAATAAAAATAAGATTTGTACTATTTTAAGGTGGCCTCCTGATGCCCTCCACTGGTCAGCACCCATACAAGTGGCAAACAACGTGACGTCACCCATCATCATCATCATCATCATTATCCTCCTTCTGTACCAATCGGTCATTCAGTTTTCAATGTGGATACCTTTGAATGACAATAAAAAAACAAACATTTTAGTTCAGACACGGTGGATCACAGTTAATCATACACATATACCAGTTGTCGGGACAGGTGCATGAACATCATAAATTTCCCGTAGGGAATAAATAAAGTATCTAGCTATCTAACTATCTAGCTTTATCTGCTTCAGTTGAGAATGAAATGACAAACTCCTACAAGATTATGTTCTAGTATACATTGTGTATTGTACTCAATACGATACCAGCGAAAAGAGCATACAGATAATAAGGTAATGAGATAAAACTGAATGTTTAGCTGTTTTGCTTCTCCGGTCAAAACACGTAGGGAAAAAACGCACTCCATTTTAGGGTGCATACACATTAAAACCGTAGGACGTTCAGATAATAAACATTTACTTACCGAAAAAACTGTGTATCAGCATCCCTCCAGTCTGTTAGTTCCGAAGAATGAGTCATAATTAATGTGAACTGAAAACTCACTAAAACTAAATAACTAACAGAAAAAACTGTTAGTGCAAAATTCCTCCTACACCGACAGATATTGAGAAAATAATAGAAATTTAACAACTGTTTCAATACGATGCGCACGCGACTCGAGCTCTCCTCCTGAGCTCTCCTCCTGGCCTGCCTCGTCAGTTTATCAATCATTGCAGACCAGGCATGTCAATCATACAGACACGCCCCCAAAAGTACCAGTTTTTATGGCCTAATATCTAATTAATTAGATGATTATTTCAGATGGACCACCAGTACACTGAACGAGAGGTGTGGATTTGACCCAGCATACCATAATGAGTTGTGAAAAAAAATGTTTACTGAGTATTTCATGAGAGAAGTTTTTTGAATAATAGTGTCTTGAGTTTATTGGAGCCACCCCCCCAGCAGCTCTCGGTGGTATTGCACATTAAGGCACTTCCGCATTGGCTTCACTTTTCAACCCCGGAGACGTCCATTGTTGTATGCAGTCTATGGTCAGCACGAGCACAGTTACTGCGCTGTGATTGGCGGAAAGACGTTTCTCTCACTTGTATTGAGCGCGCGAATGCACCCACGTCTCCCCCAGTCCTCAGTTAGCCGTTAGCTTAGCTTCGTTCACTGTGCTTTAAACGGCACTGGGGTTTGCTGGCACACCACAGGGGACCTGCGACAAGGCTCTTTGACTCCAAGTATCAACTAACCTGAAGTCACTGTCGTCCATCAACTACTTAAGATACCTGCAATGGCGGACAAGGAAGGTAAAATGAAGGGTTTCAATGTTGTCTGCGACAAATATCGCTGTTATCGGACATGTATTAAGCTAGCTATACGGCTAGCTTAAGTAGCAGTTAGCTGCTATAGCTCCAGAATTAACCTTTCACATTCACAACCTAAGCCGCGTAAAACCGCCATTGTGTGAGCTGTAACAGCCGCGGTTTCGGTTTTCATTTCGAGTTTTCGCGTTATTTGTTAGCCAACAGTGACGTTAGCTATTATATACTGGTAGCAACTGACGGTGCAATACCACACTCTTTTAAGTTATAATAGGTATGCTAACCATGTAGCAAGACTATACACATGATAGCCAGGTTAGGTTGTTACTTCAAACATGCCTACATACTGGACACTAGTCGATTCATTGGTCTACTACAAAGACAACTGTAAACAGCTCTTGTTGAACCCCATAGCTTTAGCTATCAGTAACGTCTTGATTATCGCAGAGATACACCGTCAACTTCCTTAATATTAAACTGACACCGTTAGCCACTGAAAGCTATAGACATAGATTGCAAGTATTTTTAGCAATTAAATGAAATGTGGAAGTACCAATCATTCATCAATGGTTCTGTTGTCACTCTCTGTCCACTATAGCTGGTGCATTTGACGATGCAGTGGAGGAGAGAGTAATTAATGAGGAGTACAAGATCTGGAAGAAAAACACCCCCTTCCTCTATGACCTGGTTATGACCCATGCTTTAGAGTGGCCCAGCCTCACTGCTCAGTGGCTGCCTGATGTCTCCAGGTACACACTGGGCCAGTTGTAATCTCATACATGTGTGTATACCAACAAGTCTTCTTTCAATAAGTGATAATGATGTTAATGACCAAACTTTTTTCTCCTTACAGGCCAGAGGGGAAGGATTACAGTGTACACAGACTGGTGCTGGGCACTCATACATCTGATGAGCAGAATCACCTAGTCATTGCTAGTGTCCAGCTGCCCAATGATGATGCCCAGTTTGACGCCTCACATTATGACAGTGAAAAAGGAGGTTGGAGAACTTTACAGTCACATGCTTAATAAGTGTACATAGTCAGAAAGGCAGACTTTTCATGTATATTTCTATTAAGTGTCTGTGTTTAGTAAGTGGATGTTTTAAAGAGACAGGTATCTCAAACACTAGTATGATAGCTATACTGTATAATGGAAGAGAAGCTGTTTAATGAAAAGGTAACAGTTGTTCAGTTTTTTATAACACACTATAAATCAAGTGGCAGACCCCTCAGGATCTGTAACTTAAGTTGGGCTCAATCATCTTTATTATTGGATTTCTTCAGATAACGCCAGAATCCTTACACAACTTGTTTCCCACAGCTTATGAGTAACAACGGGAATTAGTGCTCTGGTGTTATAGGTGAATTGTACATTTTTTAAGTTCACTGTCTCATATTGTATCTTTGTATGTTGCTGCAGAGTTTGGAGGCTTTGGCTCAGTGAGTGGCAAGATCGAGATAGAAATCAAGATTAACCATGAAGGAGAGGTCAACCGTGCCCGCTACATGCCACAGAATCCCTGCATCATTGCCACTAAGACCCCCACCTCAGACGTGCTTGTGTTTGACTACACCAAGCATCCTTCCAAGCCAGGTACATAGATCACAGAGTACAGACACTGCTAAAGTTTGCATGTTGTTGAACATGACTAACACCTCATTACTGTGTATATGTTTTTTTTATGCTGGGAAATGATAACAGTGTGCATTCATTTTGTTGTCCATAGATGTTAATGGAGAGTGCCGCCCTGATCTGCGACTCAGAGGTCATCAGAAAGAGGGCTATGGTCTATCCTGGAATGCAAATCTGTCTGGCTGTCTGCTTAGTGCGTCAGATGACCATGTAAGAGGAAAATTAAAGTTTCATGGTTTAGAACCATCATCAGACATCTTCACATATTTTGTTTTTTATTGAGTTATTATTTCAAATTTTAAGAAGTGTTCAAACATGGGATGTGAAGTATTGATGTGGTTTTTACCTCTCATCTTTCCTTAATCTGTAGACGATCTGTCTGTGGGATATAAGTGCTGTGCCAAAGGAGGGGAAAATAGTTGATGCAAAGACGATCTTCACCGGTCATACTGCTGTGGTGGAAGACGTCTCTTGGCACTTGCTTCATGAGTCACTCTTTGGATCTGTAGCAGATGACCAGAAGCTCATGATGTAAGTAGCTTCATAATGAGTCAGATCTGACAGGCTGGTGAAGCAGTTCACCTGAAAAGTTAGGCAGTGTTGCACAGTCCATCGATGTTTATCATTTTTTAAAATAATACAAATGAATGACGATCACCCTGCCTTTCTTCATATCAGTTGGGACACTCGTTCAAACAACACCTCCAAACCCAGCCATGCAGTAGATGCCCACACTGCAGAGGTCAACTGCTTGTCATTTAACCCTTACAGCGAGTTCATCCTTGCCACTGGCTCTGCAGACAAGGTGATGCAACAGTCCACCTCATCTTAATTGTCGCTCTTTAGTTTCATTGATAGTATGAAGTTTAATTCTGTCAGATGTGCATCTTATAGCTCTTTGACTAAATGAATAATGACAACATTGTTGCTATTTTGAAACTGCCATGTTATCACAGACATGAAGAAAATCTGGCAGGTATGTGTAATATCTCTCTCCCACTCACAGACTGTGGCTCTTTGGGATTTGAGAAACCTGAAACTGAAGCTGCATTCCTTTGAGTCACACAAGGATGAGATCTTCCAGGTAAAATATTTATCACTCGTGACATTTTCTCAAAATAAGAATAGCAGGATATCTTGTATTCAAATCTGTATAGTCAGCGAAAAGACTTTGGAAGAAATTAAATTGCAATGTTGAATTTATAAATAGTAATCTCAGACAAAATTGTTTCCTGGTGCTTTGAAGAATCCCTGATGTATGAGTCAAAAGGTTAATGAGTAAGAAGCATCAACACTTGCTAAGCAAATATGAACTCTGAGATAAATGTTCCTGACAAATGCTTGTGATGAGAGTTTCAGTTTTATACGTCTGTGTTGCTGCTCAGGTTGACCTAATTTGAGTTGTCTGACTGGCTGTTCCAGGTTCAGTGGTCACCTCATAATGAAACTATACTGGCATCCAGTGGAACAGACCGTCGCCTCAATGTCTGGGATCTCAGGTAAACAACTTCACATCTACCCTTTATGTCCACTGAATGTGGCAATGTCTCGTAGTGGCTCCATTGTGGTGATCCCCTGCCATTTTAGTCAGTGTGGTAATGTCCACTGGTCTGCGAACAAAGCTTCTTGCCCAGGTCTCAGATGTGGCTCTTCTCAGCTCTGTGCTCTTTACATGTCAGGTTGATTTTTTCCAGAGCAATGCTCTGGTTTTTCCTCAGCTAATTAACCTTTTCCAGGGGATACAGATACAATTTAAAGATGAGTTGGTGTGCTGTTGAACTGTCATCATAGTCACTGGAAATATAGCTCCTGTAGAGCAGACTTACTTGAAGACATTCACTTCAAAAACACTCCTAGTGGACATTTGAATCATGACACAGTTGCAGCTTCATCTAGCTGACATAGGATCTAGTTGTTCTATAACATGATTCAGAACTTTAACTCTTCTGTCTGTTTTTTGTAGTAAAATCGGAGAGGAGCAGTCCCCAGAAGATGCTGAGGATGGTCCTCCTGAGCTACTGGTGAGTCGCAATGAAGTCTCCTAATCTTCGGCGGTTGAGTTTCACTCTAATTGGTAACATCATCGTGTATCATAATAATGATGATAGTGGTTTTTCTTTTGTGTACCAGTTTATCCATGGAGGACACACAGCCAAGATCTCAGACTTCTCCTGGAACCCCAATGAGCCCTGGGTGATTTGCTCTGTGTCTGAAGACAACATTATGCAAGTCTGGCAAATGGTAAGACAGCTGAGTGCCCATTTTACTAACACATGTTAGCTGAGGACAGGTAGAGAACATGATTCTTTTTTTGTATTATATTGTCTTATAGGGAATTATTTTATCTCAAAGACAACATGCAAAATCATAACTTTGCAGGAACATTTTAAGGTCACAAACAGCAGAGGCGACTGCTCTCAGGATACCATGTCTCTAAAGAAGCTATAACATGGTGGATCAGAGCAATCAACAGTGAATTTGTAGGAATAAGTCGCATGATGGGATGCTCCTGAAATTTCAGCTAACAACTACAAAGAGAAAATCTCAGTCAAGATCGATTTTTGATTTTATGTTGGAGGGATTCAGTCAGGGCAAAGTGACAAGACAGAAAAGAGAAATGGTGAGTATTTTAAGTGTACTAACCACGGTGTGTGCTTACTTTGTTCCCTTTGTAATATTGTATAATGTATTTCCTTTAACACTAAATTGTCATAAATATAAGGAAAGCTTGCAGTCAAGTATGTAGTAGTGTTTTAATAGATAAACTTTGGTGCTTTGAAAGCCTGAGAGTTCATCTTTTTCTGGTTGTCCTTGAATCCAATAATGCACTGACTCATAATGTTTAATAACTTGACAGTTTGTCTGAATGACTGACACACTGATTCTCCTTGTAGGCTGAGAACATCTACAATGATGAAGATCCTGAGGGTGCAACAGACCCTGAAGCCACAGCGTAACACATTTACCCACATTTGTCTTAACCTATAACCTCATCACAAACTGCCACTTCAGAAGATCCATGCAGCTACTTCTTCCCATCCTGCTCTACTTTACTGGTGGGACACAATATGTCACAAATCACTGTAAATACAGGAAAGAGAGTAAGCATGTACAGCCCTGGTCGTGTTTGGAATATTCAAAGTGAAGACCTCCTTTTATTCAGTGATTTATTGCCTCAGCCATGTTATTTGCACTTCATATAAAAGGTATATTTTTGTAACCAAATTGGCTTTCCCTTATACACTGAAATGTTTTAGCCAATGCTTTTTCAAAAAAGCTTTTCTACAACACAAGGGGGCGATCATACTGAGAGCCCAAGAAAAATGCTTATTCACAGTAACCTGCTGTTGTGTACACACACAGCTCCCTCCACACATGTTAAAAGTGTAGAGAATGTCATGTTTAATGTAAAAGGCAAATAATGAGTCAGTTTGGTCACCACTGAATTGTTCTGAACTCCGATTTCCACACCAGCTGTTTCTGAATCTGTGTTTGAATTGTCCAGTTGTTTTCCCATGTCCAGTCACCTTAACATTACATTACTCGTTTAAAGGAATTAAATAATTTACTAATCATTTTTGTCGTTGTGAAATACATTTTTCTATGTTTTGAGATTTTGCATTTGTACAGTTAAATTGTTAGTGCATTTCTTAATAAAACTGTCTTTCATTAGTCTTTGGGTGCACTTGATGTCAATGCCTCTGAATAGCATCAGTGTCTTGCTAAGCCTAGAAGTATTTTTAAACAAACCTAAATAATCCTTTCAGTGAAACAGTTGGTTATGCCTCATCAGACTTTGCTCAGACCTTTTCATGTGTCTGCTGTGACGTCTTGGTGCACTCCTGTCTTCTGATCTTACTCTCACTCTATAACTCTGTGTCCCACTGTTTAGTTCTTCAGCCATGTTGCCCATATAAGTACATGAACCCCTCTCTTCTCTTCAGAGTCAGACATTAACTCATCAGTCGCACTCAGGTTGGACAAACCGTAAAGCTTTTATTCATAACAAAAACCTTTCTACAAGCAGCAGTCTGGTTCATCTTTACAGACTGTTCTGGACAAACTCGGTCAATCTTAGTTTTATTTGTTTTAACAACAGCATGTCTCTTAATATGTGTAAAGTGCATTAATAGAACCTTGGTGTTCACTATGTTGCAGATAAGAAATGATCAGTTTTGTTATTAAGTCACGGAACTATGTTCGCGGGTATGTTCTTGATTAAAAAAAAAAACAATCACGTTTTCTCCTCATGGTTACACTTGTTATGGTCCTCAATGGCAGCCCTGTAAGAGGAATGATTTGATTAGAGTGCTTCCCTGTAGGGTTTTAAAAGTATGATGCAGAATAGATCAACATATCTTACCTGTAAAAGAGGAGTTGTTTGGTTAGGCTCTCTCTCAACTCTTCTGTCTCTTTGGTTTTTTTCTTCTGAATCTTTAACTCAGTCTTCAGTTCTCTGCTGCTCTCCTCCAGACAGTACACTGTCTCCTGTAATGGTAGAAAACTTAAGTCCTTTAAGTATCAAGTTACACCACTTTTAATATGTACAATTAAAGGATAGTTTGTCTGCACCACAAGCGCTCCCAGACAGCTGATTCTGCCTTAAATGTTTGGTTATCTTTTCATCTTCCCCATTTTAAACACCCCTCTCCACATCATTTTGCTCACCTTGTACTGCCCCACATCCTCTCTCCGATGGATGTGGATTAGTTTGAGTTTCTCCTCCAAACAAGCCCTCTGGAGCTTCAGCTTTTGGATCTCCTCCCTAAGGGGTCCCAGCTGGGCTCTCAGCTCCTGGGCCTGCTCTTTAGCTTTCACCAGCGCTCCAGCTGTTGCGTCTCTCCTCTTCAGCAACGCCAGCAAAATGGGTTCATACCTGGCCAAGGCAACCATTGATTTTAATGAGTTTCTACCCAAAACTGAAATATGAGCAACAAATTCCCTGTGGTCAATTGCAGGGAGCCAAATTGAAAACAGTACACATTATACTTTCAGATTAATATAGAGAAGAGGTAGGTACTATAAAATATAGTATAATCAGCCTCTAAATGCTAATTGTGTTAAGAGTGAAAACAGAGGCACCTATCCTCCAGGGCTCTCAGTCCACCCTGCAAATACTGCTGGATGTCCCCACAGGAATGCCTCCTGCACTCGGTAAGATCCTCCTGGGTGTTGGAGGTCTTACTGGAGGCCTGGGCATGAAGCTCTGCTCGTAGTTCTAAGACCTGTTGTTGCTGGGCTGACCTGAGCTGGCAGCCCTCCTCTGTCAGCTGAAGTAGCAGAGACTGGAGCTTCTCCTGCAGCATGGAAATAAAGTTATGTTGGGGTTTTCCTGGAAATACAATGCACACATGAAGACTCTGGTTGAAGATTGTCTTACCTCTTCTCTCCTCAGCAGCTCCGTCTCGCGGCGCTGGTTGTTCAGGGAGGCCTGACTGTGGGTACAGTCCCTGGCTGTGACGAAGAGCCTCATTTTCAGCTTTCTGAACTCCTCTTGCAGCCCCTGTCTCTCCAGGTTGACCTTCCACAACCTCCTCTCCTCCTCTGCTCTCTCCTCCCTGAGGCTCTGTGTCTCTCTTTTCCTCTCCTCCCTTCTCCCCTCTTCCTCACTCTTTAGTATAGTCATCAGCTCTGCCACTTTGGTGGCAATTTGCTCTTCTGTCACTTCTTCCTCCTTATTGCTCCCCTCTGCCTCCTCTCTGTTTTTATTCCCTCTCAACTGAAGCACTTCTCTCAACAGCTCCTTCCTCCTCTTCTCTAACTGCTGTACTTCCTCTATGCACTCCTCCATCTGAGACCCCAAATCTCCTAATTCATTCATCCCAGATTTCAGATCAGTGGACTCTTCAGCTGGCATTTCGGTGTCATCTACCTCAGTCCCAGTTATGTCTTCATTTGTTTCTGAGCCTGTCTTTGTCCCTTCACAGTACATTGGATCATTTTCATTACTATCTAATGGCTCTGATGGCTGTGAAAACCTGAACTGCGGATTAAGAACCCCCTGAACTGTTTTCCCTGACCTTTCCAGTGTTTCCATTGAAATGCCACCCATGGTGTCGCAGCCAAGCAAAGGATTCTGCTGACTTCTATTTGTTGCTGAACCTACCGTCACGCCATTTCTGCTGTCCTTGGAAACTTTATCTCCCTCTGCATGTTGAGCAGCCCAGGATTCTAATTGCATTGGCTGGGTCTCCAACTTCACTGGCCTCTCTTGCTGAATGGGGACCAGTGTTGTGCCCCTATTAGGATTCTTACTGATGTGCACATATTCATGGCCTGCATCTGTAGCCCAGTCTTGTGGCTCAAAGTCCATCCCAGCCTCTTCCATACAATTCTCCAGCATGGCCAACATTCCCAGCAGCTGGCCCTCATACTCCACCATAGTTTCACTCAGTTTGGTGCCTGCTGAAGTGATAGGCATTTCTGTCTGGCGAGAAACTTCGGTGGTCACTCCACACCTGTTGATGATGGTGCCCAAGCCTTGCAGCTGCCCTTGTGCTGGCTGGTCTTCTGCTCTGGCCCCATCCATTTGTGTGTCAATGTAGCTTGTGGAAAGATATGGTTGGGGAGACATACTTGTTTCTCTGTAGCTCTCCATTGTAACTTCCTCTTTGCTCTGACCAAGAATTGATTCGCTCATGCTTGTTTCTGTGTAACCTTCTGAGAAGCGAGAGCCAAAGGGAATACCAGTAAGTTCCTCACAGCTCTTCAGTAAGTCATCCATCTCCTGTAAGTATGGCTTCATTAAGGCTGATGGATTCAGCTGTGTTCCTGTGAAGGTGAGTCCAGATTGTGCCGTGTTGCACTCCCCTTGTTCCATGAAGGTTCTGTCTGGCTCCCCATCCTCTTCTTTGATGAAGAGAGGCTCGAACCCAGTAGATGAAGCGCTGGCGTCCATGTCCTCCATTGGTTTAGCCTAATTACCCTCTTTGGACATAGATGATCTCCTTCAAAACCGTCTCATCCCTTGACCAAAGCAAATTAATATAATTAGCCAAGCTGATGCATATCAAGCATGATAGCTGTAGTTGTTGGCACTCATGCTGCATGTCACAGATACTAGGCCTTGCCTGCACTGATATGTCGACAGAGGAGTTGAGTTAATATGTTGGCCAGCCTTCTGTGTAAACTATGTTGATGTCATTGTCACATGTGGGCATGTAGAACAGAGCAAGGGTACAGTTTAGCAGAAAGTATGCCACCAGCAGCTGTCCCCTTAGGCTAGATGCCCTGGGCACTGCATACTCAGACACACCTCAAACAAATCTACTTATGCATTCAAATGAAAACTGCAACACCACTAATATAAACACCTACAAACGGTTTATGTCTGAAGCTCGAACGAGTGGCATTACACAGATTACATTAGAGAACAGATTATCATAACATGTCATTGTGCCGATGGATGGGCATCTGCACTCTCCCCTGGTGAATAATGTGGCTGTAATTTCACCCCTTGAGGTGTTTGCCAAGACTGGCAAGAGACTCCCAGAGAGTAAATTGATCAAATTGACCCAATAGTGTCATCACAGAGAGATTTGTAATGTAGACAGTCCATGGAAGACAAGTGTGACATTTATTTGACAGTTTTTATTTCCTGGCCAGAACCTCCTCCCTCGAAATTCCAGATGCAGCTTCAGCTGTTGTGTTAAGCTAGATCCAATGATACGAATAATGTACTAAAACCTACAGCAACCACAACTACCTTCTGTCTTTTTCTTTTAAGTGTCGCCAGTGCCTAAGGACTGGACTTTGTTGTGCATGGGTGATCAAAACTTTTGGAAGGACATGAGAGTGACCAGCTGTCCCGCTGCAGGACAGGCGTGGGCATGAGGCACATTCCTTTAGACCCCACCACCCCAACAGCACTGGCCTACATTTGCTGACCATTCTAAACAAACTTTTCTCCTTCAACTAAACAATAACAACATTTGAAAAAATTATTTTATGCTACATCTGACATGTCTTTAGTTTTTAGTTTTTGAATTGCTTTAGTTATACAGTTCATTGCTTGAAAGCTAGGAGCTACATACATGGTTAGTGTTAGTGTTTTCATTCAAATTTTATCAGAATCATTAACACAAACCATATGCCGCAGTCAATTATAAGTGAACTTACCTCTCAGCATATATCCCAGTTTCCTTTGTACTTGTGCTGTATCATCAGGATGAATTTGTTGTAGGAGTTGTGGTTCAAACGACAAAGCAAAGTGAGCAGCAAAGAATGAGCGGGAGCAATGTAGTGTGCAGATGAACTGAGAGAAGAAGGGGGGTATAGACAGTTGACCCAGTCTCCTCCTCTCTCTGTCACTGTGCTGCTATGTGTGACCATGACTACCTCGAATCTGTTTAGGTTTATTAATAAACACTGGGCAGGGAGAGAGAGGAGCCACGGCAGGCTGTTTCAACTCAAGAGAGATAAAGGATTTGCCAAAATGGACCTCTAAGGATTAGACCGAACACCTGGCAGCCATATCTTTTTTAAGACTAGTTTGTTTAACAGTGCATTTGTAAGAGACATGATTTTTAGTGTCAGAACTTAGTCGGAAATTTTATTTCCTTGAGCCATTGGAGTAATCAGCTTTATTTAAATACATGGCAGTAAGCTGGTATCATACTGAAGGTAAACCTGCGTTGGACAGGGAAATTAAATCACTCGCTGTCTTGATGTCT